ATCCCGAAAATTTTATAAAAAAGAATTTTTAAAGGAAATTAAGGAAGTATCCATACTCTGGTCAAACAACTGGATGGAGAAGGTGGCAATCCCATATCGTAAGGAGACCTTGGAAGAAACAAAAAGTATCCTCAGCAAATATGAAATAAGAGTCTATTCTCGTGCAACCAATACCCTACGCTCTAACTTAATGAAAGTTAAAGGCATAGTACCTAAATAAAATCAACAGAACTGGGTTTATGAAATCAAGTGCTCTGATTGTGATGCAATATCTATGAGGGGAGAGGACAGACAGCTAAATAAATGTAAGAATGAGCGAACATAGACTATGTCTAAACCAGCTTCCAAAAACCTCAGCAGAGGTTAAGAAGCTGGAAAACAAGCCGGTAATCGCTCTACACTCCATAAAAACGGGCCACAAAATTGACTTTGACGGAACCAAAGCTCTACAGAAAGGTTCTATGTCATACCAAGAAAGACTGACAGACGAAGCCCTACATATATGGCCAAGTTGACATACTTTGAACAAACGAGATGGAGTATAGTCAGCTAACTCTTGGCAATTACTAATCAGTAAGCAGAAAGAGTGGCTGTAGTATTTACGTTCAACACCAGTCTTAACTTCATGATTTCTGCACCAACAACAACAAACAAAGTGGATTCATTTATTATTATTATTATTTTCATCTCCATCATTACTATCATTCATCTCCACTGTAATCCGACAGATCAATGAAAAAATTCGTTAACACCAATCATCCCTATACATCAAGCGAACTCACACACGTATCCGCTTCATATACCTTATTGTACTAATAAAAATACCGAGTGACTTACAATGTCAATTGTGGCGTTTTTGTCTCATATTTACAATCAAAGGGGAGTATGAATAACAACAACAACACACACACACGCTAACAAAACAACAGAAGACGTACAATTTCACAATGAATCATTATTAATCATAGTTTAGAAATTTGTACTGGGTGATTGAAGGTGAGATGAAAATGTGGACCACGGCCGGATTGGAACCAGCGACCACTGGGGTTACCGGTCCGGTGCCCTACCAACTGAGTTACGAGGTCCGACTGCTGACCAGAATTTTATTTCGTCTCAATCATCAAGGGTTTTGCCCGACTACCATGTGAATTCGTGACGCGTTACTACCGCTTGATCGTATTCACACTGGACATCGTAGCTCAGTCGGTAGAGCACCGGGCCTGTAACCTGGTGGTCTCTGGTTCCAATCCGGCCGAAGTTCAGATTTTCATCTCACTTTCAATCATCACCCAGTACAAATGCTAGTCTGCCAAATCACGGCTATCTTAGATAGTCAAATCATTATAGTTTAGAAAGACAATGACTATATGAAGAGGACTAGACAAGAAGATTAAGTACACATCTTTGGATTCCCTTATATATATTCTTGATACTTTGATTTTTGATTACTTCCCTGAAGAAGCTGGGGCCAGACTTCCGTGCGAAACGTTGAAATTATTTCATTTCAAACACCCTGTGATTTACACACAAATCTAAACTATATTAAATGTCAGCCTTTTACTCAGAACTCAATATTTATCAGACAGCTCGGTCAATCCTTGATCGTACTTCGTATAAATAGGTTCCATACTGTCTATGCTTACTAGTAAAGCTTTTCTAAAATCTTAGAAAAACTCGAACATCACCAAAAATGTGAACAAATTTCGCTTGTCATTTCAGTAAATGGTACTATACATCATCTCTTCGATCTATGAATGGAACCCTGGAGAAACCAGTCAACGAAGTGATCATGAGATTTCTAATGAGTTTATGATGCAGTTGAACTTTGGTTTCAGTTTCATAGGGAGTGCATATTTTTTTAAAAAAAAACTGAGAATTCTTAAAATCTGTGTATCAGACAGTGTAAGCAGAATAGAATGTCAGTTATACTGACCGTAAATAAATGGATCTCATTCCGATTCCCGTCCACACACACACATATATATATATATATATGTCAACAATTTACATCATTATCTGGAACTCACTGATTAGAATACGTTGATGATAACATATAATCCCGTCTTGTTGATTTTGTGTGTCATATGAACAATGTAGTCTCGTTTCTTTTTTTCATCTACTATTTAAACAGGTGATAACTTGTGCAGTTTTTATCTTCGACAGTAGAAGCAACTTTGACGAGGTAACAAAAAGTCAAATGTTTACTTTTCTACCATTTCATCGGAATTTGACATGTACGCTCAGCCATCATTTTATTTTATCAGGTCAGGCTTAGATCCTGATGGCTATAGGAACATGTACACATCTGATGATCCCAGAATGACAATCATTTTTGCATAACAACAACACAGTTATTTTGATGGTGTCGTGCTGCCTAAGCTGGATGGCTTAGACGTGAAGTTTTCATTGTCATTCTAGACAACATCAGCAGCAGCATAAACGTCAGAAGGAAGTGAGCTATAGGGACTTCTTCCCAGGGAGGTTAGTAGCTTTTCTTGATTCCCTTGTGTTTTGAGTGGTTGTTTCTGTCAACGTTTTCTCATTGTCTCCATGTTTATTTTGATTGGTTGTCCTACTGACGAGAACTTTCACCTTCTTGTTGTTTCTTATTGGTGGATAGGTTGAATCAGTGTCCATATATCCGTTGGTCACTGACTGAACTGAATACCAAGCTTCTAAAAACTCTCTGCTATTCTTTCTATTTCATCTACTCTGGATTTTCACATTTTCCTAGTCAAATTCATGTCCACAGTTGTCTATATGCATTGATAAGAACGAAGATATATCATGAACCTTCACTGCTGGTTGTTCATGTAGACGCATACGAAGAAAGCTACCACTCTGTCTAATGTATTGTTTTTCGCAGTTCCGGTTGTTCATCTTGTAGAGTTAACTTTTGGTTTGTCTTCTTTCGGTATTGCATACTTCGGTTCTTATAACAGAGAGTGAATGGATTTTGTAGGCTTGCGAGCTATAGTGATTTCAAAAAGCTTTATTTATCCAGTCGTGATCCCGGAGATCTTCTTGACGTAGGGTAGGAAAGTACATTTATTGGTTTTCGAAGATGACTTCTTGGCTGACGACGAATTAGGTAAACATCCTTTGATGAATTTATGTGGATAGCCGTTCTTCTGGAAAACAGTGTTTCATTACAGCCGATTTTGAGTACTGTTGGATTGTTACTGCCAAATGTGTTTGAGGATTTGATTCGTATGAGTTCATTTTCTGTATACTTCAGTTTCCACTTTTTCCGAATCCGTTCTGGTGATCAGAACACCTGAAAACGCAAGTGTTTTATTTGATTCTTCTTCAATTGTGAATTTGACGTCGTCGAAAATGTTTATCGTAGGTGATTTCCAACTCGTCTCTTTATGACGACAAACATGCCATTTACATATAGGACCCAAAGTTTTGGTTTGATCGACACCAATATTATAGTTGCCAATCTTTGCATTACTACTTCTGGTATTAGCCCTGATATAGGCAATCTTATTGGTGTTTCTTTTGTGTGTTTGTAAAGTTTGCTGTTGGACTGAAAATATATTGTAAGGGATAAATCAATTGATTCCATCAAACTTGAACATTGAGGTTGCGTGTGTTCCAAGAGGCGTGAATCATTGTTGAAAAGAGTCATTGTATCCTCAATATTTGTTATTACAAGTCATCTATACCTGAATGAGACTTGGATAATCCTATCATGGGGCAGCTAAATATTTACATGCCAATTGGTTTAGCCTCTTCGGTCACACTAATTTAAACTTGCTGACAGGTGCTTGTACGATTTTTAGCCGTAGTTGACTCCAGCTAGTTGGTTTATTCTACCTTAGTCTTTAACAAACCTTAAGTTTACTTGAAAGATAGCTTCAACTTTATTACAGTTCTCCTAGAAAAATCCACTTGAGACATTCAAATGGTAACACCTACAATATTGAAAGGAATTCTCTACCCTCATTATTCACTTCCAATAACCTAGGAGTCAAATGGATTTATGATTTGAGGACCATGGCACTCTGTCAGTTTATCACAGCTTGAAGTCTTAGGACACTTTGGGCACTATATAGAATGTTTATAAAAACAAGTGGTGATATATATACCACCTCTTACACACAGTCAGTTAAGTCCAAACTAAAAAATATGCACAAAAGGTGAATCCTTGTCTAAAAGGTGATTCAGACCTTTTAGGAAGAGTTCAGAGGGCAACCATTCGTATGATCGCTGAGATGGCCAACCTGACTCATGAAGAATGGTTTAAGAAGCTAAAAATAGGGGAGATATAATTACGCTATACAGGATTCTAAGAAATGACTTTGGACCTGCTCTATCTTCTCTTTTCCTTCCCAGTTGGTTGGAACACCACAGAGGACGTAGCATGAAAATACAAGAGCAAAGGACGAAAGTGGTTTCCGTAGAGTACTTGGTTCTTGCATCGAGTAATCAACTTCCAGAAGAAGTGATGTCCGCATCATCAATTGGTTCGTTCAACAAAGGACTGAACTAGCATAGATATCTGCTGGAAAAGGATTAATGTACAGCCTCATAAACTTCTATTCTCAAACAACAAGTCTGAATTATTACAATGAATGAAATGTACAGCACGTAAGACAAATTCTAATACTCATGGTCAGGATCTTCAAATCACTCTGTTAACACAGTTTCTCGGCGAGCATCCTAATCAAGTGTACATTAAACTTTTGAGATATTACAAGCAATTTACATTAAGCAGACCGAATACAGAGACCGTGATCATTTGTTTACAAGTGATCAGTTTACTACAGCGACATCATAAAAAAGTATCTTCTGTTTGTAACAATTTCATTTATCCTCTTTATATGTCTTATCCTGATTTAGATTTCATCTTTTTCACACATAAATATGAAATTTTCATAAATATCTATTGGTTAGAATTATCCATCATATTCTTTACAATTTCCAAATACTTATCCTATTAAAACTTGTCACAGTTTATACGGATATACAACGTTCAAAACAAGATAGCTTACCAATCCATCTATAATACGTTTCTGTTTCAGTTATAGGTGGAATATAGATATTTTTTGTAAAATCTGAAAACATTAAATGATGTGTAACATTGACTCCATTTGGCATTGAATAACCAACAGAGGAGAATAAATTGAACATTGAAATACTACTTCCATCTGGGCCAAAATTTTGGACTAATAAATCAAGAAATTCTGTGTATATATTTACATCGGGCTGAATTAAACTGGTCATAATTATACGTGATGGAATTTTCCCCCAATTACAAATGGTTGATGAAGAAATACTGGCAGTCCAACTTCCACTAGTATGAGATGATAAAAAAATTTTTTACAGCAGTTCTTTTCTGAACAATAAAATATATGAATCCATTTTTATTCATGAGAAAGAAAACGACTGTTTTTATGCAAAGATCTTTCAATTTGAGTGTCAATTCCCAGATGAAGTTGATATTAGGCCATCTATGTGAAAACGACTAGTTTAATTTATAAAAATCCAAATGACTGAGAATTTAGTCATCTTTTTCGATAACATAACTACATTCTGCTGTGATGCTTAACTATGTTGGATTTTAATTGCTATGTTTGACGTGAGTGAGTGGAACGAAAACTGAATGACTGAATTTTTCGACTTGAGCAAGTAGAGCATAACAATTATCGGAATATTCTTAAATTTATTGACAAGGCCTACGAAGTTGACCATAGATTGACTCAAACAACAATAAAAACTTCTAGTTGTAGTTCTTCTACTACAAAGATCAGCTTCCCAGGGTGGTTGAGGACACTTATCTTTTCTTGAATAATCGGTACTGAACGCCGATATATGCCATACTTCAGGTGGTTTAAGATCAGAGCAAGTTTTTGACTGGATGCTGAGTATTCTGCATCCTCTGAAGTTCTCTGTCTCATCGAAAATGGATACAGAGACTAGAAGGTACTCTGGAACTTTGGTTCCAAAGACCTAGATGGGACACTTAAGTCAGTTTATAGCTAATGAACAGATATTCGATTTCGAAATGGAGAAAGTCAATGGTTTTCATGGTCAAAAATAAGTTATAGAGAGCTATGGGCTTAGTTTTCCTCTTCCAGAGCACTTATCAGTAAGATGTGTCTTAAACCTCGATAATACATGTGTCCCAGATGAAAATACAGCCCAAGCGTTTCATGTCAGCGCCATTGAGAGATGTGAAGTAGCAATTTTAAAGATACAGGAAGCTTACAAAACTCTCTCCCAGAAAAGTACATGAACCATACATTTCGTAAGAACGTAGCAGAAACTGAAAACTACTACAGAAAGCATGCTTGTTTACAGAACAATGAATTCAGGTTTCCGAGTGACAAGCTGAGTTTTTAAAAAACTCGATTTGGTTTATCAGGCACGTCTTTTTCTGCAATATTATTCAGCAAGTTATTGGCATACTGACTTAGCCAAGTGCGTAGACCCCGACAATTTTAATGTTTGTTTTTGCCTACTAATAAATAATTTCAATAGTACGAAGCAAATTACAAAACTAAAAACATAACGGTCAATCACTAACTTCGGCATTTTTGTTGGACATAATAGTTCATAGTTTTCGATTGGGAATCCATCACGAGACGCTAAATCTATTTCTTGGTCTCGTACAAAAGCAACAACTGGTTTGTATATCGATTCGTAGTTTTCAGTATATTCTCTCAAGCATCTTAACGCACCTTGATTTCCCGCATATCGATCTAATGACGCACACCAGTCAGACAATCCTGAATTGTAACACAATCGACATACTTCTTGAGTATTATCTCCAAATGGGTTAAAAATTTCTGATAATGAATTTGGTATACATGAGTCGCCAAGATAACGGATTAAATTCTGCACAACACTATTACACTGTGTAACTGGGATAGCCTGCAAGTCTGAGATCAACATGCCTACAGGCATAACCCATCCTTCTGCAGTACCAGCACCTAAATAGACATTCATAAATTGATAAAACAAAGTTAGTGAGTTACCAGCTGAGCAGATTTCTCTGCCCCTCAAGTTTGTAGGATCTATTTTCACACCGATTGGTTTAACCATGACTGCATAATAGTATAAATTTCTTGCATTCGCTGCATTACTGACTGCATAATTCTCTACGGCTATAGGTCGTAGACTATACAATGAACTGCCATAATATGCAAGACCAGCATCAAGATTCATTAAATCAGCTGATCGTTCACTGATTAACTTCATACAATTAAATTCATCGGAACCCAGTACACAAGTCAAATTGTACTTGTTCAATAGTGAAGGAATAGCTTGAACCACTGAACCAAGACGGTTACACTTCATATGCTCTTCTAGGGATACTGAACACCATCTTATTGTTGCTAAAACAAAGAAGAGAGATGAAAACAGTGACATGAGTGGTCTTCGAAACTGGGAGAATACAACTACCTATTATAACACGTTAACTTTGCATTCGATTACTGCTGTTTCACCAAATTCAAACGGCTCGCTATGTCTTTTTTCACAAACGAAATTCTTTAAATAAATTATTGGTCTTTTTCCGACCTCCTAAACTCTCAGGAAGCATTACACCATATAAGCCTTGTCAGCAGGCGAAAATTCGAAAACTTCTTTAGACTTTCGCTTTCATTTGTAAAAACAGTTATTAGTTCTTAAAAAATTCAACCAATCAGTTTGAAAGAGAAAGAAGTCAGCCAGCATGGTTTTGGCCCATCAGATGGTCGTTCTTTAGGTCAACTTAAATCATATGGTAAAATATTGTAAACCAGTTGTTCATAGGTATTATGGAAGGAAATTTATGTGAGACAACAGTCACTCCCTGTATAGTTTTAACATTGACCACTAGAAATTTACGGTGAATAACTAGTTTTCATGACTGGACAGAAATCATACGTGAAATTAAACATATAAAAAGGTCGATTTTACTTAGGATCTAAGTCTCATGTAGGATCATTAAAAAACATACTTGTTGAAACTGGTTTTGGTTCTTTCATTACACAGCTGGTACTTCCATAATTGACCACTAATTCATATGTTGAACATGTTTTCAGCCAGTGAACAGAAATTAGGCACTTTAAGCATTATGAACTTCATATGTAAAATGGTCGACAGCTAGCACTGCTTAAACCTATAGAACTTTTCTAAATGAAACAGGTGACTATTCAATTTTCTGTTCTTCTAATTATGTTGGTTTATCATAAAAGTTATTTCCAATGGTATGAAATCTGCATAAACTACACACCTAAAGAAATACACTAATCAGGAAAATAGTAACATCAGAAAACAATTTATGCTGCGTGATTCATCGGTAAACTTTATTTACGCGATGCCTCAGTAGCAGGAATCACCAAATGAGCAGTGTTGAGGCCAGAGGAACCGTACTAAGCAAGATAGCCAAGTCAGTAGATGAATTTGTGAATCTTCATCGGTTGAGATGGCTCGGACATGTGTTGCGTATGCCAAGCCACTCCCTACCCCGACGTGCTATGCTAGGAGGAGCTAGATCAGTTTGATAGGGGGTTTCGGGTGGCCATACTAAGACATGGTACCAGTCTATGAAGTCCCTGACTGTTGGTCTGAGACGTATAGGGAGATGTAGACTATTTGAGCGGAGTCCCTGAGACAATAGAAATCAGTGGTGGAGGACTCTTAGTGACATATCGGAAAATGGGTCAAAATGGAGCAGATGCATGCACTTCTTGACCTCTTCTAAAGCTTGAATATTCGCACTAATCATTATTTTCATAGTGTTTATTCTCCCACATAACTTTGTCTACGCTGAGATCACTGTTTTTTTATCCACCTGTTCTTTGTGTACTACTATGAAGTGTGACAACTTGAAGTGGCGAACCTGTATGCAAGGTTCTACGGCGACTTTGTCTGGGATCTTATTTGTAATTATTTTGATTTCTTACAAAAACAATTCTCCATCAGCACAATTGAAAAGGTAACTAATTTATTACTGTTGTTCAACTGAAAATCTTCTTGAGAGCTTCTGAAGGATGGCAGACTAGAAAAGTTCTGCTTAACTACCAATCGTTCACATTTTACAGTGGTTTTATTTTAAAAGCATTACTACCTGAATTTCTTGCTTAACACTACTATATGCTCTAAAAGCATTTACACAGGATAACATGAATTTTTCGAACATGGATACCTGTATGTCAGTCTACACCCACTGTCCTCTTTTGTGTCACGGAAATGGTACTATGATAATAAACACCTCATAGTTATTTGATACTGTCTACATAACATCAGCCGGCTTAGTCACTTTCTCGACCAAATTAGATACTTTAGCGATTTAGCCTAATATACATTATCCTAACGTAAAACGAGCTTTACATTCAACATCCAGTTTTAAACAACTCATTTATGATCTAAATTCATCAGATGACATCAGTACTTTCATCTGTATATTTTTTACACGCTTCTGAGTGGATGCTTTGGTTAGTTGAAGTAGCGACATGCTATATTACCGCTCCACTGGGTACCATGTTTAGACCCTCTCATGGAAAACACACTACCTAATTATTGAGAAGATTCGTTAACCATAGCTACCTTTAATGGTGGTCCTAGGGAGAAATCATCAAAGTGGATGTATAACAGTGACCGGTTTTGGAGTTGAAATTCCAAACAAATTAGTCAAAAGGGCCACTATGGCTTACAAAAAGTCACACGCTGTAGTCCAGCTTACAGCCCGTCATCCTGTCTGTTGCTCATGTATGCCAAATGTAACAGCAGAAGAATATTGGGTGACGTCAAAGGACCAAAAACTTTAAATCTGATTTTCATTCACATTGGTAGACTTTTTGACCAAGCACTTCTTTTTAGGTCACTCACTGGGATCAAAACTTTTGAAATCAGTGGAAATCTGATAGTATGAATTGGAGTATTGCTTTTTGATAGACAAAAAATAATGAAACTCAATTCCAGTTTCTCCTTCTGGAAGTTGGTAAGAATCGGTTTGCTACAATGTGGAGTTTTTGACCGCCTAACCCTTTCTCGAAACAGTAATTGACTCTCGAGCGTTACAATATTTTCCAACATCCTCTGTGCTGATTATGTGAAATTTTGGTAGAAGCTAAGACAAGGTGGCAATATGCACACAATTCAGACAGATACCAACAGCTTTATCCAAACAGTTAATAAGTACGGGCACAAGCTTAGTGTGCAAGATTCATCTGCTCTCTCACCTACCTATAGGGAATTATGTGTAGCAATAGGTTGTATGTTGAGGAATGTAGAGCGCTGTTAGTCAACCACAGTTTCAGACTTCCGGATAATTAGCAACAACCAGAACCTTCACCACGACCAGTAGCAGCCTAATTGCTACTTTAAACACGGTCTTGACCAAGTACGAGCTGGAAAACTGTTTAAAAGCAGAGTCTTTACGTAAAAGGTGACTCGGACTTTCTGAAAATAGTTCAAAGAATAGCAGCACATCTGACCCCTGTGATGACTGACTTAAGCTGCCAGCAATTAGTTCGGGAGCATAGCTTTTTCCTTTTATTGTATATTATACAGAAAGGAAACTCAAATAGGATCCATAAGACAATCAGACTCTATTGTCGAACTTTCTAGCCGTCAGTGAATTTCATTAGCAGTACACACTAACCAAAAGGTGTTTTCACACGTGCTGATGTGATCACAGAATTCGAGTAAAAACAGGTAAACTGTTTGATGAAAGCTGTAGCTAGAGGCAACTACTGGCTATATGAAGAAGATGAAGAACATAGACGGTGCCCAATGGCCTCCAAGATGGCCTATAACAATCAGTTGCAGTCAACACATCTAAAAAGTTGTGATGAGAAAAAATTGCACTTTTTTAAAGGAAACTGATACTAACTTTCAGGTTTAGGCTCAGGTCCACTCAATAAAAATGGGTTTACAAGAGAGTTCAAATTTTAAAAGAAAGTTCCTGCATGACAAACCTAGCAGCAGAGCTTGAGAGTGAAAAATGATAAAATACCAAAAAAAGGACTCAGTTTCAGTCTGTTTATTAGAAATGTCACATAGTGAAACAATATCATTTACCAACAAATGAAACTGTTTCACCGTATGACATTTCTAATAAACAGACCAAAATGGAATTACCACCCATCACAGTGCCCAAGTTTTGCTTCTATACTCAAAAAACTATCCTTTGTAAATTTTCTGTCACTTTGCTTGTCTACATCTGGGAGTACAATCTCTTTTCATTCTTCAATGACAAGGATAGTAGGGCAATAGTCTAAGTTAATCAGTTTAGTAGCTACCTCATTGAAGATACTGTATTTCGCTAAATGTACTCACTTCACAAGCTGCTACTATTTGTTCTCGATAATGATTCACAGTCATCAATCACACCGCAGGGGAACAGGTACTCCACCTGAAGATGATTTCATAGCGATTTTTAGGTCAGTGGTAAATTCTACAACGTTCGGAATAGTAACCAACATTTGCGATTCCTTGCAGTACAGGCATCCTTAAAGGTCCCACCTGCTTTGATAAAGTGTTCTGTTTGCTGACCAATCTACGACTGTGCAGTCATTTAGTAGGTTCAAAGTTGTACCGTCTATCTTTTGATCTCACTGGTTTTGGTCTTTTGCGGAGTTAAAGCGTAGTGATACATATCAACAAATTCTCAAAAGACTCTTAACATAGAGTGATACTTCAGTCTAGTTAATCAAAAGGGAAATAGTAATAAACGACATACAGTGGCAACGTTGAGAGCTTTCATATACACCTTGACTTGAAGTACTTAAGTCAGTGTTTGAAGTTTAATCTTTTTTGAGGTTTAAGGTTTGTCTTTGTGTTGTCACAACTTAAGTCCCCTTGTCGGAATTTCGACCGAGTATTTTAGTTAGTACACAACACGAGTGAATAATATGGTCAGCGATAATCATGTTTGCGGTCGTCCCAGCTGTAAATTTTCAGTGGATGAAGGTATGCAATGTGATGCATGTGGATGTTGGTTCCAAAAAGTTTGTACAGGATTGACAACAACCGTGTACAAGCGTTGCAGCGAACCAGCCTCTCCCTGGTTATGTGGTTTCTGCTGCAAGCCGTTGCCAACCCTTATACAGGAAGCTGTTGAAAATTTACTTGTCAAAAAACAGCTATGTGTAAATGATAGCTGTCATTCTAATGTGGTATCAGATGATGACGCTGCAAGTGTAATCGTTAATAGATCTGACACAGGACCTCTCAGTGGACTAATGGATGCTGGTGATCCAGTTGGTGAAATTACACCAGTTCCGAAGGGTACTCGACACAAGAGAAAGCCAAGGGCAAATGGTACACCAACCATAATGCCTGAGGATTCACCGAAAGCCTGCATCTCTGGTAACAGCGCTGACTCCATAAAAGTGGTCAACGAATCTACATAGATTTCTCCAAGAAAGCATCCGAAGAGACTGCCAAAGGTTATCAAGGAAGATACTAAGCTTATGAAACCTATTGAGAAGGTTCCAAAGGCCATCAACACACGACTCAAAGATTCCACTCCAATGCCCAGCTTAATCTTCTGGAATGTTGAAGAGTCATCAGACAAAGATGCTTCAATACGTCACGGTTATGGCCTGCAACTAGTCGAGTCGGCCATCAGACGTATTCTGCCTGAAAAGCCTAAAGGGGCACACATCTTCACAGTAGTTAGGCTAGGTAAGAAAACGAATGAAAAACCTGATGAGAAGAGAATTTTAAGGGTTGTTTTAGGCAACAAGGATGAAGTGGATGTACTCTTGAGTAACGCATCCAAACTACGAAATTCGGATATCTGCATCCGACCTGACTTGCCCCTCGAGGATCGCATAAAAAGAAGAGAAGCTGTTGCCGGACTTTAGGCTCGACAAGCTAATAGAGAAAATGATCTTAAAATAGTGGGTTTTCGGGTTGTGAGGTCTTGGAAGCATTCGCTTCCAAGGCCTACATGGGTGGGTCATGAAACTCTTCCAACACAATGAAAGTGATCTACACTGACGTTCCCAGTATTAGGAGCAAAATGACAGACCTCGAGACTCTAATCTGCGAGCTAGGTCCTGACGTAGTAGCCCTTACTGAAACCTGGTTAATCAAGGGTCTAGATTTTACGCTACTCCTCACAGGGTATTACTGAGTAAGGACGGATAGGGTTGTGGGGCGCTAAAAAGGTGGCAGCATACTACTATATGTTTGGGATGACGTCCACATACGATTAGTTTGTTTCTGAAGCACATGAACGCGGGACCTGTGAAGTGGCCAGTCGCGAGCTGAAGTCAAAGCATGGTTTCTGTACTATCGGGGTCATTTACCGTAGTCCATCCTGCCTTGCAAATGACTTCGTGCTAACAGATATACGTAACCGGAGTAGAAGTAACAGATGCCTAATAGTTGAGGATCTGAATACTCCACACATAAAATGAACGGAGCTAACAGCCTCACCGCCAGGTAGTTCCTTCGAAAATGACTTACTTTTGACGGTCTTAGAATCTGCTTTAGTTCAAAATGTAACATGTGCAACACGTTACGACTTTGAACACAAGCCATCTTTATTAGATTTAATTTTAACCGATCAATGTGAAGACATTCTGGATCTATGATACTTCCCTCCATTAGCTAACAACAACCATGTAATACTAACTTTTGGTTTTCGGACTAATGAGTTTGATTATGACACTGCCTCGCCTAGACCTAATGTATGGCGCGCGGACATAAGGGATTGCGCAGTCAGTAAGGAATGGACCGTCGACAAGGACTCATCAATTGAGAATGCATGGAATAGGTTTAGAACTCTATTTGAAGAGGTAACGACGCCATTTATGCCATGTTCGACTCCACGACGATCCTCACGTCGCTCTCCGTGGTTTAATAAAAACATTAAGAGACCGTCAAGGGGAGGAAACGTTTATGGGACTTGTTTCTAGAAACTAGACTGGAAACATTTAAGACTGAGTACTGTAAAGTCCGTAATCTCTGCAAAACTTTGATTACACGGTCTTGAATGTCCTACGAGAAGCAGCTTGTGAGGGATTGCCAAAATTGTCCTAAAAGACTGTTTGCATTCGTCAGAAGGAGAACTAAATGAAAAGGCGGAATCCCCTCCCTGGTGACGGATGAGAAGTCTGATAGTCTGGCGGAATCTAATCTGTCCAAAGCTGAGTGTCTCTCTGATTACTTTAGTGAAGTCTTCTCTGTAGATCATGACGATGAAGTGCTAAATAGTGGTGTCAGCACTGTTCCACTAATAGATACAGTGTTCACAACAAAGGAAAGAGTCTTACAGTTGCTCATTAACCTTAAACCTGGAAAATCCCCAGGTCCCGATGAGTTACATCCCAGACTTCTATCTTCGCTAGCAGACATCATTGCTGAGCCAGTCACGGATCTTTTCAACATGTCCCTAACTCAGACTCGCCTCCCTAGAGACTGGAAAGATGCCATAATCAGCCCAGTCTTTAAGACCGGTAGTCGCCATTTGGTGTCTAACTATCGCCCTGTGAGTCTAACTAGCATAGTTGTTAAGATTTTGGAAAAAATAATTTCTGACAGGGTACTTAAACATGTGGAATCAAGCAATCTTTTGGCACCACAGCAACAAGGTTTTCGTACTGGGCACTCCTGTCTAACTAACCTCCTTATCGCAAGAGAGGAATTGGTTACAGCCCGTGATTGCAAGCTGCCAATAGATGCCGTGTTTATAGACTTCAGTTAGGCATTCGACAGTGTCACATGTGAAATTACTGAAAAAGCTCTCCTCCCTCGGGTTTGGTACTTCATTGCAAGCCTGGATTAAGGACTTTTTATACGATAGAAGGCAAAGAGTAAGGGTAAATGGGACACTATCGGCGTGGAAACCTGTGTTGAGTGGAGTTCCTCAAGGAACAATCCTAGGTCCACTACTTTTCTTGTTATATATCAACGAATTGCTAAATATGCTCAACTCTTCGGCACTGTTACTTGCCGATGATTTGAAGATTTGGAGAGCCATACAAAGTGATGCAGATAGGTATGCACTTCAGGCGGATTTAGATGAACTAGTAGGTTGGTCCAAAGGTTGGTGCTCGGAAATCAATTCTAACAAAAGTGCAATAATGCACATTGGTCATAGCAATTGTTTCCAGTATTCCGTTGATGGTACACCACTACTTCCAGTCCTTGAAATAAAAGACTTGAGTGTCATCATTAGTCATGATTTGAAACCTCGGCAAGCTGTAATGCAGCTGCAGCAAAGGGTTTCCATATATTATGGTTACTCCGCAGAGCTTTCACTTTTTTGATGAGGACATGTTTAGAATACTCTACTCTACCTACGTTAGACCTCACTTGGAATACTGCATTCAGGCTGCTAGCCTATACCTAAAAAAGGATGCTGACGCACTCGAGCGTGTTCATAGGGTAGCTACTAAGCTTGTGGCAGGCCTTTCGAATCTGTTGTGTGAGGAACGACTAGATCAGCTAAACTTATTCCCACTGTCGTCTTACCGTAGAAGACGGAGTGATCTCATACTGGCATTTCGTATTCTTAATAATGACTTCGGTACTGATATGTCTCATAGCTTCTCCCTTGCTAGGACTATCCCCGAGGGCATCACAAGAAAATTCTAAAACCGCGACCGAATCAACTCAGCGTGAACCTGCGTTTCCCCCATCGTGTTGTCAACGACTGGAACTCCTTACCTCAGCAAGCAGTATCAGCACCTTCTGTCAACGCGTTTAAGGAGAAACTAGATCTTCACAGAGATATCTTCTGCAAGGATTAACACAGGCCAACTGGCCTACCATCCTTATAACTGAAACTTAACATTCACAAGTCTACATATAACACTTTTCCTAGTTTTCAAATATTGCAGTATAAGTGAAAGCAGTGACATTATGAAAGTAAGACAATCTCCTAGTAACATGAACTTTCTAGATCTTGAGTATTTTAATCATGATGTCTCGATGCCTCTAAAGTTAAAGTACAAGGATTACTTAATTCTTGCGGTTCGCTTTTCGACAGAAGAACTGAATTCTCCTCATAACTTTCCACCCAAAAAGCTTCTTTGAATGGTGATATACTGTACTGCGAAACATCTGGTTACATGTAGTGTTAAAAGTTCGCCAGACACATATACATTCCTAGCTGGGGCATACCCTAGAATAATTCCCGAAAGCATACATGATGGTGAGCTAGCTATGCATTCAGACAAACCATGGACACAAAAAGACATAGAAAATTTTATGAGCGCAACAGCTGAATATAATCTACAAAATAAGTCTTCATACTGCAGCGTACGTACGCAAATTCTTCCTGTAAATGAAGACCTTTATGTTTTGATTTTATGGTTGATTTTCAAAAAGTAAACCACATATTGTCTCTAACGTGTCACCCTCCTAACTTACTTTGCGAATAAATGGCAGTGGAGCTGACTAGAGCCCCCAAAACCAACAGATTTATCAACATCCGTAGTCTGAATGCTTCAAAAACACCCAGGTTACTTGTTTACAGTACTTAGTGCATTAAAACACTTTTCGGATAACAATTATGTAAATACTGCTTTCTTAGGAGAAGAATAAATGTGTAGTCAGCTAAAAATATAATCAACTGGACAATGTATTTGTAGGAGTGGAAGGCAAATTCCTAGTTGTCTTAAAGTCTTCGTTGATTAGTTTTTGCTGATTGTTCAAACAAATTATAAGTCTATATGAAGCCAGAGAAGACAGTGAAAAATAACACTGAATCCTCTGACAAAAGGTTAATTTATGGTAGACAGTGGTAGAAATGAAAATGTAGATACTGAATTCATGAGCCTATGAAAAGGAAGTAAGATCTTTTTCCATCGCACGTATTCCGTCGAATTTTTCAAGGTTTCACTAGTTCCCGATGATTCTGTTGTGGCTTCTAATCCTATTGCAAGTTTATGCATGTTTCTAAAACGCTTACAACCTATCACGTTGCTTTTATCAAACGAAATAATGGAAAATATTACGGTGAAAGGAACTCGCTTTGAAGCGAATGACTCTATCTCAAGTGTCTCCAACTGAAATCTTAGGCAAAAAATGTAGGCTCTTACAAGAAAAATTGGTCCTTCCACGGCTTATTCCATCTTTCAAGGTCTACCGCAATAACGGACTGATTACACCACAAAAACTTGGTTGCCTCATCTCTGTTTTGATCACTTGATCTCTGCAAATGGTAGCGAAACATTCTATCAGGTTTGACATAGTTTCACGAAGAAATGGAATGTATCTGTCAGTCCATTTCGAGTTACACATGATTCAAATTCTCAGATGAATACACCGACTACATCACTGCAGAGTGCCACCCGAAACTTTCAGACAGATAAGGCACTGTTTAGACTACAAATATATGTGCAACCCCCCAGTTGCAGTAGCATTTGCTTTAGGTTACCTGGTTTACCTGATATATTCACAGAATATTCGGATTGTATTTCAAGTATTTTCTTGCCTGTAATATGTGGAGATCTGAAATTCAATGACCAGAGTAATCTCAGAATTCTGGGTTACTGGGATCTTTTTAACTTCACGAAAAGTGAGGATGCCGCACCAGACGTCACATTCGCTAGTGACACTAATATGTACATATCTTAATAATGACTCACTCCTCAACTCAGGAAACTGCTTCATGCGTGATTTGCCAAAACATACAGTGGCCATACTAAATAAACGTTATATGTCGACATTAGAAAAACGTGCACAGAAAATATTCACTTAACAGCATGCTTTAACTAAGGCGAATGCTAAGGAATGTAGACTAGAATCATATTTGACACCTGCGTTGCTTGCAAGGTTGACAACTGTGCAACACGCTTTCTCAAAATTTCCCCCGACAAATATTCCTGTTACCGTTGATACCGATCATACTCAACGAACATCTATCGTATACTCAAATGAGAAAGAATATCGAGAAGAGGCCTTATGCGAAGTCACCGAATACAATGAAGCTAGACAAACCAATTTAAACAAAAACGAAGAACAGCAAAGTCCCGACATATTAAATAAAAAGCAACTGCCTACTGGTTTCAGGTTTGATGTTGGGTAACTGAAGCGTTGTTGATGGCCAGTGCAACTGTGCTTCGAAGTGTTCTGCTTCACGTTCCAGCCGCCTATCCTGGGAGGTTATCAGCGTTGCATCCTTTTGGGTGATGGTTTCACCAACCATCGTTCTCTTCTTGTCAGTATCCTTAATCAGCTCAAATGGTCGCAAAGTGTTACCCGACGCTGATGCCTCCTTAATCTGTTTCGCTCTCACCACCCACCATTGCCCGCGATCGACGCGAAGACTCTTGGTCAACTTGTGTTTAGGCTGCTTTCGCTCATCATGGTTAGAGCCGGATGGAACCAGCCTTCTCTCATCAATCACTTCGGATGACGTTGCGGAAATCCAATGACGTTCACTAACTTTGGAGTGTGGGTTACCAATTGTCTTTACTGCTGTTTCTACAACAGATGTAGTCTCATGCTAGGGCTCCTCAGGGTGAGCACTGGCATCATATTCGGATAAATACTTGGCTAACCACTCAGTTGATGCGTACTTGGAGTCCTCATCTTCCAGTCGAGCACAGATAGGCCTCACTGCCTCCCGTTTTCTACTGCCAGTAAGGCACAGAAATACACCAGCCCATATAACGGGTGATCGGAGTCAAAACTGGCACTTCAGAGAGAGCGGTAATCCCCCATCGATCCGCTCTAGAAATGGCCCATAGCAATGTGATGTATCTGTCTCCATCGTTGGTTTGAAGTTGGCAGACGTCATGTGAGAGAGTGCCTCTCCTTATACCTAAATTTAGTGCTGGTCAGAGACAAGTGATTATCGGAACAAAATTGCAACAAACGGTCACTGTTGTCGTTTCGTTGGCATGAGATTCCGTAAATACCTACCTCCAAGTCGCCTTACCGATTGGCTCAGATTGCCTACTTGAGCGTTAAAGTCACGTGCCATTGTGACTATATCTGAAGGTTTTGCTTTGTGTGGTAAGGTCGACAGCTTTTGGTAGGACTCATCCTTTGCGTCATCACAGCCACAGTCGATAGGTGCATGGGCGGACACTACGAATGTGTGTCGGTTGGTCTCACGATCCCTCCCAGTTCTTACGGATCCATTCACTTGAACAGAAAATGGGCGGCTGTTTGCCGGCATTCAATCGAGAATCCGGCCAAGAAATGCTTTCTCCTGGTTAGCAAGCGACTACACTACGTTGGACGAAGACACAGTCACAGCAGCATTTCCTTCGGAAGATCCTGCAATCCATTGCCTGGCAGCAACTCTCACATTGCTTCCAGTCCCAGTAAGCCACATTCAGATAGACACACAGGAAGATGAGCAATTACAGTAGGCCATCCATGCTGTTCGAAATCCATGACCGACTGAAACGCTTACCGACGAGTTACAACATCTTTCACGCTAACTAAACTCTCTTTGTATCGTAAATGACTGCCTCATGTTCAGAGAATTTGTCATCATCACATCATATGGAAACCAGATCTCGCATTAGTTTTAATTCTAACCACTCGGGTGTCGGATGCATACAAACACCAGCAAGCTGTCACGCCTTTCGGCTGTGGAAGGGCCATTGAGTCGCAGACTGCGTGAAACGATATGCAGAATGTCAACAAGCAGCTACACACCCACCGCGACCACGGGTAGTTAGCTCCCATAGCCCGAAATCCAGTGGTCTCGCGTTCTTGCCGACCTCGCCAAACTACCCGTCCGTAGGGAACAATTTTCAGCTGTCTTTCGTTCGATGCATGTTTCATTCAAACTGAAATAAAGTATTTGGCACAAGAGTGAGGAAAAGCATACCACAAACTGCAAACTGATTTCCTCGATTTTATCTGTTGCCCAGCCAGTTAAATGAGTGATTATCTTATAGCTCTGAACAAGTCTGAGCAGAAATCTACATTTCCTGATTCACAACATGCTTTCACGTAACACCGAGCTGCTGGTGGCATGAGACAGCTAGACTTAGTTCAATGGAAACAGAAGCTGTACATAACACATCTGTGGACTTCGCTAAAATCTTCCACAGCACAGGCTGTTCTGGTGCTTTGGAAGCCTGAAGATACAGGTGGGACGTGGTCTCTTCCGGAAGGGTCAGAGAAATAACTCAAGAGCAGGCTGCATCACTCCCACCTCACGGGTTGATGATATGCAGTGGGTTTTCTCAGGTCTACTTACTTGGCTTCCTGTAACCGTTTCCCCCTACTTTTCAGACTCATCTGCATCTCGTTCGCTGCCATGGGCTGTTAACCTGAAGACTTAGCAGGAAACTGATGAACCTAAACGTGTCAGTTCATGATAAGAAGTTCTGAATATGGTGTACGACTGAGCAGCGAGGAGTTGATTCGTGTGTACAATTGGTGAGCGTGGACTGCTGCTGAAGAATAACAAAGTTGAGCCAACTCTTACTCTAACGAAGAGACATCGGTATTCAATTCCACATAATTTAGACACCTAGCAAGGTCTTTATATGACACACTAGCTTAAGAAAATTGTCGATCATCGGCGCATGGTGCCTATTAGTGTTCCTAGGTGTTTATCGATAATTTTCGCTAGAACTTCAAAACTGTTCGCAGAAAGCACACTCTACCGCATCTAGAAACGGCCTCAGTCCCTGGGCCATCATACCTTAGAAATGAATCTTTCGGATCTGGCACAGGACTGTGCAACAAAATGGTGGTACAATATCGACGAAGACAACATCAGGCCCTTTCAAATGCTGTAGATCTGCAACCCGTATGATACAGATGGACCGGGGGGATGTGGTCATGGCGCACAGCATCACCCGAAATCCCTCTCAACCCGACAGAGCACTTTATACTGCAGCCGCAAAGCTTATCTTGGCGGACATTATTCCCACGGGGAATTTGAAATGACTTGCACAACATTTCATATCAGCCATTCCGCGGTGAAAATTCATAGGCAACGAAGCTTCTTCTCCGACGAGGCAGTGACGGCTCCTCTACCAAGTGATTTCGAACGCATATTGGGGGCCCATATTTGATGAGTGGTATTTGGAGGTAGAAACGAACTTATTGCCTCTAACTGCAGACTAATCTCCCTGGTTTCCCCGGTCGCATCGATCGTGGGAAGGGTAGTGGATAACCCATTTCGTGGCTGCTTACTCCGCAACTCAACCCTAACTGCCTCTGAACACGAGTTTCGCTTGAAGGTGATGTAACACCAGTTTGTTGATAGCTCGGGACGGCTGAACTTCCTCTGATAGGAAGAAGAGGTACATTCATGTTGAGTTACTTGAATTCTCTGAGGCCTCCAACGGGGCTTGTCGCGAAATCCTGCATGAGAAACTTCATCTTGCGAGTGTACCGAAAGGTCGCTCGGCTGGCCTAGGGGTTAACTTGACACTAGGTTGCAATCAGCTATAATACAAACTTATCGGTTCACGGTGGTTATTAGGGTGCCTCAGGGTCTCATCATTGACTCACTGTTGTTGCTCGCTCTTATAAATAACATGCCAGCGACTCTAAATCCCCTCTTACCATTATAAACTGAGGATCTGGGGGTTTGGAGGGAGGCGGCGGGACCAACGTATGTCTTGGCCATCCAGGATGAACCCACCAAAGTAATGAGGCTGTCGAGCGAAAGTCCGCTCCCACTCCGTCTCTGTCTCAAAGCAGAGAAATGCAGGATGATGATAGTAGACAAATACGTGCCTAGCTCTAGTCCTCAATCACAGGGGAAATAAATATCTCTCACTCAGAAATTGAAAAGGATGTAGCAGCATACGCCATTATCACCATCGAGCGAACAAAACCTACATAGTCCCAATGTTTCATTGCCAAACTCTGGGTGTAATAACGCAGGACCTGCTTGATAGACTTTGTGGATCACATATGCGTTTACGCTTGGATAAATGGCCACTTGTGCTCTTTCACTTGGAGAAACATATAGATATCGCAGAGCAGGCTGAGAGAAGAGTGACGGGAAAGGTGACTGAACTGTGGCATAAACCTCAACTACGTTTCTAAGTCGCACTTCAACTGCAGTCGGCTCAGAACAGGCGGATAGAGGGGGTTACGATCATGGTGTACTGCGACGTTCAAGACCCCTCTCATCTTAATAGACCCGCTGGAGCCTTGATCAGAAGTCCTACCACAGAGATTATCATCTACGAGTTGTGTATCGGGGGTAAAAGCGAACATCTGTGGTAACCAGTTTTTAGTTAGGGTGTGCAAACTGTGGCATTTTCTCCCCTCAAAGTTTACCGCCGCCCTTTCTCGCAATGCTTTCAAACGGAAGTCGGGCAGTCACCTGCACTCCTATGGTGTATGTGGGCTGTACTTACGAAGCTTTTCATTACCTTGCGGGCCTTGGGAAGGTGCATCGTCAGAAGAGGAATGATCAATAATAACTGATTACCCGTGTTCTTCCAACTTTCGCGAAAGGTGTGGCCATTTCGGACAGGACCTTTCCCGTAAATACAGATGCGAAACCATAAAAAGTGTCACTCGTTAGTTCTACAACACAAAGTTTGGATGACTCATCGGATTCCATTTTAGTTTGCTCATTAGAAATGACAAAAACAGTGGTGCTAGTTCACTGCGCAACATTTCTAACCAATAGACCAGAATGGAATTGCAATCTACAACGGCGCCTAGGTTTTAGCCTCACACTAATCCATTATCAGATGCCCACAAACGGATTTATGAAGTCCATCTTGAAATCGATCAAACTGAAAGGAAGTATTCTTTCGCTCGGACATTATCCGTGACCATTTAGCAGTGTTTTTTTGTTTAGGAACAAGAACTCAGTATTTAAGACCGATTCTCGACAAATCAGAGACAGAAAACTTAGGATCTCAAGCTCACTACTTCTGCAACACAAATATTGAAGGTTTGAACCGCAGCTTCTCGGTAAATTTCTCACTAGCATCCATTCGCTGACCAGAGGCCGTCCTGAAAGTTGACAGCTGAAATTTCCGTCCCCCTGGTACTTACCTGGTCGCCTTCGGTGTGTTCAAAGCAAATATTTGATGATCAGATCATCTCAAGACTATAGGATTCTGAGCACCAGCGTAACTCCCATGATGCTTCCTGTGACAAATATTACAGTTGACTAGTTATATTTGATATTTTGAGTAAATAAGAATAGGTGAAATGACTTCATGAGACTGGTGATCGTAAACGAAGAACTTTGAGAGTTTTGTTTTAATCATTTCTCAGTGTAGCTATATCCGTTGGCCATACTGTCACTTCGTCCTCTCGGTTTCTGTGACTGAGACAAACATGGGAAGGCGTAATTCTGAGAATAATGATCGTCGAACTGAACAATTCCGTAAACTGTTCATAGGAGGCTTGACACCCCTCACCACAGAGGCCAAGTTGAAGGACTTTTATTCACAATGGGGAGAAATTGTCGATGTTGTGGTGATGAAAGATAGCCGTACAAACCGCTCAAGAGGCTTCGGCTTCATAACCTACAAGGAGCCCGAGATGGTTGATGCTGCTCAAGCTAACAGACCGCATGAAATCGATGGCAAAACAGTCGAAGCTAAGCGAGCAATGCCACGTGAAGATTCGAACAGTCCTGAGTCTCATATGACAGTCACGAAACTCTTTGTGGGTGGCCTGAAGAAGGATGTGACGCATGAAGAACTGCGTGAATACTTCAGCAAATACGGCAATATCACCGAGTGCGAAGTAGTTGCTTGGAAGGAGACGGGCGAATCACGTGGCTTCGGCTTCGTCACCTTTGATGACTACGATCCTGTTGACAAGGCTATATTATACAAGCCTCATCACATCGGCTCCAGCAGAGCAGACGTCAAGAAAGCCCTCAGTAAGGAACAAATCAACACAATGAAAAAGAAACAGGAGTCCAGGAACGACTACAATAACAACTATGGTGGTGGCGGTGGTTATGGCCCAATGGGTGGTGGCTATGGCGGATATGACGGAGGATATGGAGGCTCATACGGAGGTAAGTCCTATTTTTGGCACTTTCATCCTCTAGGTGGTCCTTATGGTGGCTACGGTTCAAATGGTGGAGGTGGTGGTACCTACGGCGGAGGTTATGGAGGTGGTTGGGGTCCGAATCACATGAACGGAGATGGCCCGGGCTGGGGTCAAGGAGGGATGGGTGATGGGTTCGGTCACTACGGGAACCAACAGAACTACGCCGGCGGTCCAATGCGGGGTGGTCCACCAGGAGGTTACCAACGGAATGCTCCCTACGGAGGTAAGTCACCACTTTGCCGAAGCTAATCTGCCTTGTTTCTAGGGGGGTATGGCCGTCGTTAATCTCAAACAGGTAAGGATTTTCTAGTATGAGCATGTTTTTCAACGTCTAATTGCTTCTTCGTATCCGTTGCAGGGTTAGTATGGCCTCAACAGTTTGGTCTAGGCAGTTCTACTAGCAGAGGAGACAGAGTTGTCCTAGCGCCCTCAGGTTCTAGGTCAGCCAGCAGAAAGTCGACAGCCTGTCTATAGCTGAAGAGGCCAGGGATCCTATTATTCACTGTGTATATAAATAATGTTGACTGTTAATTTTCACTGCATGTGCAATCGAGCGTTCTTTTTAACTGTCATGTCCATCGCGAGTTAGCATTCTATTGAGAGTGACTTTCATCTATAAGTGTAAAGTTTCGTATCATATATGCATAAGCCCATGCAGCATAATTTTTTAACTCAGCTTTGTCACTAGTATTAAAGGAAATAAAAGTGTTGAAGCCAGTTAGTCTTTTGAGTTATGAGTTTTGTTTGTAGCAGTGAGGGAGATAGATGCCTACTGGGCGGAAGGCGAAGTTGGCTTGTTAGGCCTTCCAGCCCCCTTGTTTAAGCGAGCCTGTCTCTGCACAAGGCTCCTCAAAATGTAAGCTAGGCAGCATTTCTGGAGTTTGGTGCAGTGTTAGGTCCCATTGTTGCGTATACTGGGTTTCAGGGATTGGAGGCCAGTAACAATTCACCCTGTTCACAATTTTTGAGTGGTTTTGCAGATCTCCTTACGGTGCCCGCTGGAGGACTGTAGACTCGTTCGTGGAATGGAGCGCGATGGACTCGGGACCGTCTGCACTTGTATGACTGTGAGTCCATTTTGCATGCTATGAAAAATGGTCAGAAATAAATTTGCGGATTCGCTCCGTGTGTAAATACATCTTTCTTTTTGATCACCTTTGTCGGTGGGTGGTTTTGAGGCTGGTTGGTTTTCCGAGTGCGGGACGTAGGAAGGATCGGCGCGTTATCTCCCACCGTCGGATCCGTTTGTTGATAGAAACCCCTGGACTTTGTGCCAAGCCTTGCAGGACCCAATGACTTGGATTCTCAATGTCCACGCCTGTTGTGTGTAGGTGTACGCGTGCCACTTCGTGGCAAGTTATGAACAATCTCAGGTCAGTTGGCTAGGAATCCTGTTTAAGATCTGACAGTATTACTACCGGACACTCCCTTTGAGCTTACGGGTGGTAGTGGCCGGCTGTGGTTGACTTGCCAGGTGCGTTGGCCGTGTTCTCTACCTCGCTGGCCTACTTTTTGTGCCCAACAAGACTACTTAGTGCTGAGAGTTAGGTGCGTGGTCGGTGAGCGTCCTTGAGGTGTTACTGGATGGGCAGAATGGTTGCTTCTCCTGCCTAGCGATGTGGTTGGTTTCTTTGGCTGCTCGCTCCGGGAGTCGGTCTGCTTCTCCCTGGCTGACGGTCGTTGCTTGTCATCCCTGGTCAGATGTTTCCAATGTGGTGGTGGGTCGTCCTCCTAGTCTAGTACATCCCTCGAGAAGCTGTGCCAGTTCGGAGCAGTCAGAAGTGGTCAGAGCATTTGTTTGTTCTGCGGTCTCTGTCCTCACTCCGTGTGCTTGCCGATCTCCGGTACGGTTGGGGAGGGATTTCCCTGTGGTTTCCCACGTTCCGGTAGCTGGCCCTTGGACCTCATGCGTAGACTTATGTTATTTAGATGTGTTGTTTGGGGTTACAAGGCTATTAGCTCGTGTAAGGCCTCTTCAAACTGTTTGACGGGTTCTGGTGTTACATGTTGTCCAGGCATATCTTCAAGTCGTGGCTTCGGCTACTAAGGTCGTCATGCTTTGCTGTTGGTGTGTAGGCATGTCGTTGTGTGGTGTTTTAGTATTTCCTTCATCCCCAGAGTTTTTGTACGTAGCAGTGGATGACTGATAACTGCTTGTGTGCTGGGAATCTAGGCTCGCTTCATCCGATCCAGGTGTTTTGAGGCGAACAAATCCGTACGGTGATCCCCAATACTTTTCACTGAGCGAATTCCATCTAGAGGTCCGCCACGCGGGTTTTCGTTTCCCTTGAGGAATCGGTGGTTCGTTGGGCACGTGTCTGAAGTTTAATCTACCGGGTAATGAGTAGGTTTGTGTGAGGCATGAGTGGGTCCGTAGACGCGTTTATTATGTCGAGAATCCTCAGTGATACCACTGAGAATCCAGGTTTCCTCCAGCTACTTCTCGATCTCCATATTCACCTTAGTTGCATCTGACACAAACGTTCTGTCAGTAATCTGACATTTTCAACTAGTTAGTTGGCTTGTCTCCATGGTACGACCAGCTATGTCAGAGTATAGTTTCTGGATCCTTAGTGTTTAGTGCGTAATCTGAAAGTGTTTACATCCACTCGGTTTTCCCGTCGAGCAGTCTTCCTTCTACAACCACGGACAGAGATGGTCCTGTAGGTAGATGTGGTGACTGATGCTCTATGTGAACGCCTTAAATGATATTAACTGATGTGTCTTCACCATACTGGCGAAGTTGATCTATCAGTACTCAGTGAATATGCTTTTATGACGGCCCCTGCCAGTATTCAGGTTTATTTTGGTTTTGTTGCGTATTATTCGGGACTGGAAGATTACAGTTTTTGTGATGGGTGGAGACGCTGATCATTGAGGGCCGCGGTGCTAACGTTCGCTCATGGTTAGCTTCCTGAAGAGATTGTACCAAGTTTGCTGGAGATCACTGACTCCGTCCGCTAGTCACATTCTGAGATAAATACTGAATTTACACCAAGGCCTTATGGAGGTGAAGTATTGTGACAATACTTTAGAGTATTGTGAATCATCTTCCGTCCCGACACACTCTTACCCCGAGAACACCGAATTGCCATTAGAGTATTAGAGAAATAAAACTTCTGACAAGTTACCTCACCTAATATCGATCCGGGTGATTTTTGAGGTCTGCAGTAGTTTTCTGAATTACGATTGTTGGTCGTAGATTGTTCACGTGCAAGTGAGTAGACTCTGTGGCCTCTCCTTGTAGCTTGAGGGTTTTCTTATCCCCGAGTAACCAGGGAGGGTTGACGCTTTATGTTCGAAAGTCATGAATAAAATCAGACATGACAATCTGGTTGGGCAACAAAATCCCAAACACATCTGGTGATGATTGGCTGTACATCTTAGTGTTAACATAGCCACTGTTTGGTAGCGAGTGGAGGAAGTTTCGTGTGAATATTAGGTGTGACGATGTCAACCGTGGGCGACACACGGAAGCCAGAAATTCTTTAGCGTGTGTCTGTCAATAACAGTCTACAGTAGCCTCCTGCATGGTGTCCATCAAAATTCTTATCTCGAAGCCGGCCACCTATGTGTAGAGTAATATGAGACATTTTGTTTTATCGCTTGCCTTGCTCACATGTATCTTGGCAGTATCCATTTCCAGCGCGTGTTTATGCGGAAGTCTACAATGGAAGTCGCTGGTTGGGGACTTCAGGTGACATGACGTAAAATCCATATCAATGGCTCACATGAACTGAAAACGTCAGAGTTAGATGTCGTACATAAATGCATCGGTTCAAGTTGCCACACTTAGCAGCAGTACACGGAGAAAGGTGGGATAGACAAAAAGTGGTGTTAAAGTATTCGAGGTTGTTTGAGAGAGTAAATATCCTGAAGATAAAAGTTAGTGCAAATACTATAGCTTTGGAAGGTGCAAGAGAGTGAACATGTGTTCCATGTCTCACAGCTGTATAACAAGACAACGAACTGCAGCACAGCATACTCTTCATTTGATGGGCAGTGTGATATGTCGCCAATTGGCGTCAGAGATGACTCAAGTTGGAAGATGTCAAAGGGGACTTTTGTATCCAGGCTTCAAGTTCGTCAGTGAGCTGATGCAAATCCCCAATTAGGTGAAGTGTTCGACACATTCTACCACTGGGGATAGTTGCAGTCCAGTCTTGGAGCAACGTCCTACATTTGACAAGTGCCAGCGAAATGCGTGCCAAACGTACTCAGGTTTCTTCTTACCACGTTTGGAAGACCCTTCATTTTGTCGGCGTCCTCACCCAGCAGGACAATGTCGTCTGAATACTCCAAGTCGACCAGATTACCGCATGGAGTAGGTCGATCCCTGTGAAGTCAGACTTACCTAGGGTTATGTCCAGTAGTATGTCTATAACGAAGTTAAGTAGGAACGGTGACAGTGGACGTTCCTAGCGGAAGTGATTAGTTGACGTCACCTCTGATGAGAACTCTCGACAAGCCGTTACACAGATGTGTGAGTCCGAGTATAGGACTGTGATTGGCGTTATACACTCACTCGGTACTATCCTCATAGCCAGATTATATCGCACGATTGACAGAGTTGGATGCCGACTTCCAGTTAAGAAACACGCCAGGTGTCTGCCACTGGCCAGTAAGTATCCTTCTGTCGGAGGGTCTAATCATGATCAATGCACACTCGTCCAGGTCCATCTAAAACGTGCCTGCCTTTCTCGAGTTTAGTGTTATCGAGCTCTAATTAGGGATCGGATAAATATGGACCCTGGGATCGTGGACAAAGTACTAGTCAAACTAATTGCCTTATTGTTGTCACAAGAAGATAGAATGGGATAATCAATGGAGTAGGTCAGTGTGACACCACTACCTCTGATTCCCACATACTGCCTAGTACCTTCGTCATTTCACTTAGCAACTATCTTCTTCCATCCTTCGAAACTTCAAGTGACAAACAGTCAGATCCTGATGCTCTTCAGTCTTCTCATGTTCGATTCACCCTTCTCAAGTCCAAGGGGAGTTGAAGGATTAACATTTACTCACCCTTCGGGTTCAGGCTGGATGTTGGGTAACTGAAGCGTTGTTGATGGCCAGTGCAACTGTGCTTCGAAGTGTTCTGCTTCATGTTCTAGCCGCCTATCCTGGGAGGTTATCAGCGTTGCATCCTTTTGGGTGATGGTTTCACCAACCATCGTTCTCTTCTTGTCAGTATCCTTAATCAGCTCAAATGGTCGCAAAGTGTTACCCGACGCTGATGCCTCCTTAATCTGTTTCGCTCTCACCACCCACCATTGCCCGCGATCGACGCGAAGACTCTTGGTCAACTTGTGTTTAGGCTGCTTTCGCTCATCATGGTTAGAGCCGGATGGAACCAGCCTTCTCTCATCAATCACTTCGGATGACGTTGCGGAAATCCAATGACGTTCACTAACTTTGGAGTGTGGGTTACCAATTGTCTTTACTGCTGTTTCTACAACAGATGTAGTCTCATGCTAGGGCTCCTCAGGGTGAGCACTGGCATCATATTCGGATAAATACTTGGCTAACCACTCAGTTGATGCGTACTTGGAGTCCTCATCTTCCAGTCGAGCACAGATAGGCCTCACTGCCTCCCGTTTTCTACTGCCAGTAAGGCACAGAAATACACCAGCCCATATAACGGGTGATCGGAGTCAAAACTGGCACTTCAGAGAGAGCGGTAATCCCCCATCGATCCGCTATAGAAATGGCCCATAGCAATGTGATGTATCTGTCTCCATCGTTGGTTTGAAGTTGGCAGACGTCATGTGAGAGAGTGCCTCTCCTTATACCTAAATTTAGTGCTGGTCAGAGACAAGTGATTATCGGAACAAAATTGCAACAAACGGTCACTGCTGTCGTTTCGTTGGCATGAGATTCCGTAAATACCTACCTCCAAGTCGCCTTACCGATTGGCTCAGATTGCCTACTTGAGCGTTAAAGTCACGTGCCATTGTGACTATATCTGAAGGTTTTGCTTTGTGTGGTAAGGTCGACAGCTTTTGGTAGGACTCATCCTTTGCGTCATCACAGCCACAGTCGATAGGTGCATGGGCGGACACTACGAATGTGTGTCGGTTGGTCTCACGATCCCTCCCAGTTCTTACGGATCCATTCACTTGAACAGAAAATGGGCGGCTGTTTGCCGGCATTCAATCGAGAATCCGGCCAAGAAATGCTTTCTCCTGGTTAGCAAGCGACTACACTACGTTGGACGAAGACACAGTCACAGCAGCATTTCCTTCGGAAGATCCTGCAATCCATTGCCTGGCAGCAACTCTCACATTGCTTCCAGTCCCAGTAAGCCACATTCAGATAGACACACAGGAAGATGAGCAATTACAGTAGGCCATCCATGCTGTTCGAAATCCATGACCGACTGAAACGCTTACCGACGAGTTACAACATCTTTCACGCTAACTAAACTCTCTTTGTATCGTAAATGACTGCCTCATGTTCAGAGAATTTGTCATCATCACATCATATGGAAACCAGATCTCGCATTAGTTTTAATTCTAACCACTCGGGTGTCGGATGCATACAAACACCAGCAAGCTGTCACGCCTTTCGGCTGTGGAAGGGCCATTGAGTCGCAGACTGCGTGAAACGATATGCAGAATGTCAACAAGCAGCTACACACCCACCGCGACCACGGGTAGTTAGCTCCCATAGCCCGAAATCCAGTGGTCTCGCGTTCTTGCCGACCTCGCCAAACTACCCGTCCGTAGGGAACAATTTTCAGCTGTCTTTCGTTCGATGCATGTTTCATTCAAACTGAAATAAAGTATTTGGCACAAGAGTAAGGAAAAGCATACCACAAACTGCAAACTGATTTCCTCGATTTTATCTGTTGCCCAGCCAGTTAAATGAGTGATTATCTTATAGCTCTGAACAAGTCTGAGCAGAAATCTACATTTCCTGATTCACAACATGCTTTCACGTAACACCGAGCTGCTGGTGGCATGAGACAGCTAGACTTAGTTCAATGGAAACAGAAGCTGTACATAACACATCTGTGGACTTCGCTAAAATCTTCCACAGCACAGGCTGTTCTGGTGCTTTGGAAGCCTGAAGATACAGGTGGGACGTGGTCTCTTCCGGAAGGGTCAGAGAAATAACTCAAGAGCAGGCTGCATCACTCCCACCTCACGGGTTGATGATATGCAGTGGGTTTTCTCAGGTCTACTTACTTGGCTTCCTGTAACCGTTTCCCCCTACTTTTCAGACTCATCTGCATCTCGTTCGCTGCCATGGGCTGTTAACCTGAAGACTTAGCAGGAAACTGATGAACCTAAACGTGTCAGTTCATGATAAGAAGTTCTGAATATGGTGTACGACTGAGCAGCGAGGAGTTGATTCGTGTGTACAATTGGTGAGCGTGGACTGCTGCTGAAGAATAACAAAGTTGAGCCAACTCTTACTCTAACGAAGAGACATCGGTATTCAATTCCACATAATTTAGACACCTAGCAAGGTCTTTATATGACACACTAGCTTAAGAAAATTGTCGATCATCGGCGCATGGTGCCTATTAGTGTTCCTAGGTGTTTATCGATAATTTTCGCTAGAACTTCAAAACTGTTCGCAGAAAGCACACTCTACCGCATCTAGAAACGGCCTCAGTCCCTGGGCCATCATACCTTAGAAATGAATCTTTCGGATCTGGCACAGGACTGTGCAACAAAATGGTGGTACAATATCGACGAAGACAACATCAGGCCCTTTCAAATGCTGTAGATCTGCAACCCGTATGATACAGATGGACCGGGGGGATGTGGTCATGGCGCACAGCATCACCCGAAATCCCTCTCAACCCGACAGAGCACTTTATACTGCAGCCGCAAAGCTTATCTTGGCGGACATTATTCCCACGGGGAATTTGAAATGACTTGCACAACATTTCATATCAGCCATTCCGCGGTGAAAATTCATAGGCAACGAAGCTTCTTCTCCGACGAGGCAGTGACGGCTCCTCTACCAAGTGATTTCGAACGCATATTGGGGGCCCATATTTGATGAGTGGTATTTGGAGGTAGAAACGAACTTATTGCCTCTAACTGCAGACTAATCTCCCTGGTTTCCCCGGTCGCATCGATCGTGGGAAGGGTAGTGGATAACCCATTTCGTGGCTGCTTACTCCGCAACTCAACCCTAACTGCCTCTGAACACGAGTTTTGCTTGAAGGTGATGTAACACCAGTTTGTTGATAGCTCGGGACGGCTGAACTTCCTCTGATAGGAAGAAGAGGTACATTCATGTTGAGTTACTTGAATTCTCTGAGGCCTCCAACGGGGCTTGTCGCGAAATCCTGCATGAGAAACTTCATCTTGCGAGTGTACCGAAAGGTCGCTCGGCTGGCCTAGGGGTTAACTTGACACTAGGTTGCAATCAGCTATAATACAAACTTATCGGTTCACGGTGGTTATTAGGGTGCCTCAGGGTCTCATCATTGACTCACTGTTGTTGCTCGCTCTTATAAATAACATGCCAGCGACTCTAAATCCCCTCTTACCATTATAAACTGAGGATCTGGGGGTTTGGAGGGAGGCGGCGGGACCAACGTATGTCTTGGCCATCCAGGATGAACCCACCAAAGTAATGAGGCTGTCGAGCGAAAGTCCGCTCCCACTCCGTCTCTGTCTCAAAGCAGAGAAATGCAGGATGATGATAGTAGACAAATACGTGCCTAGCTCTAGTCCTCAATCACAGGGGAAATAAATATCTCTCACTCAGAAATTGAAAAGGATGTAGCAGCATACGCCATTATCACCATCGAGCGAACAAAACCTACATAGTCCCAATGTTTCATTGCCAAACTCTGGGTGTAATAACGCAGGACCTGCTTGATAGACTTTGTGGATCACATATGCGTTTACGCTTGGATAAATGGCCACTTGTGCTCTTTCACTTGGAGAAACATATAGATATCGCAGAGCAGGCTGAGAGAAGAGTGACGGGAAAGGTGACTGAACTGTGGCATAAACCTCAACTACGTTTCTAAGTCGCACTTCAACTGCAGTCGGCTCAGAACAGGCGGATAGAGGGGGTTACGATCATGGTGTACTGCGACGTTCAAGACCCCTCTCATCTTAATAGACCCGCTGGAGCCTTGATCAGAAGTCCTACCACAGAGATTATCATCTACGAGTTGTGTATCGGGGGTAAAAGCGAACATCTGTGGTAACCAGTTTTTAGTTAGGGTGTGCAAACTGTGGCATTTTCTCCCCTCAAAGTTTACCGCCGCCCTTTCTCGCAATGCTTTCAAACGGAAGTCGGGCAGTCACCTGCACTCCTATGGTGTATGTGGGCTGTACTTACGAAGCTTTTCATTACCTTGCGGGCCTTGGGAAGGTGCATCGTCAGAAGAGGAATGATCAATAATAACTGATTACCCGTGTTCTTCCAACTTTCGCGAAAGGTGTGGCCATTTCGGACAGGACCTTTCCCGTAAATACAGATGCGAAACCATAAAAAGTGTCACTCGTTAGTTCTACAACACAAAGTTTGGATGACTCATCGGATTCCATTTTAGTTTGCTCATTAGAAATGACAAAAACAGTGGTGCTAGTTCACTGCGCAACATTTCTAACCAATAGACCAGAATGGAATTGCAATCTACAACGGCGCCTAGGTTTTAGCCTCACACTAATCCATTATCAGATGCCCACAAACGGATTTATGAAGTCCATCTTGAAATCGATCAAACTGAAAGGAAGTATTCTTTCGCTCGGACATTATCCGTGACCATTTAGCAGTGTTTTTTTGTTTAGGAACAAGAACTCAGTATTTAAGACCGATTCTCGACAAATCAGAGACAGAAAACTTAGGATCTCAAGCTCACTACTTCTGCAACACAAATATTGAAGGTTTGAACCGCAGCTTCTCGGTAAATTTCTCACTAGCATCCATTCGCTGACCAGAGGCCGTCCTGAAAGTTGACAGCTGAAATTTCCGTCCCCCTGGTACTTACCTGGTCGCCTTCGGTGTGTTCAAAGCAAATATTTGATGATCAGATCATCTCAGACTATAGGATTCTGAGCACCAGCGTAACTCCCATGATGCTTCCTGTGACAAATATTACAGTTGACTAGTTATATTTGATATTTTGAGTAAATAAGAATAGGTGAAATGACTTCATGAGACTGGTGATCGTAAACGAAGAACTTTGAGAGTTTTGTTTTAATCATTTCTCAGTGTAGCTATATCCGTTGGCCATACTGTCACTTCGTCCTCTCGGTTTCTGTGACTGAGACAAACATGGGAAGGCGTAATTCTGAGAATAATGATCGTCGAACTGAACAATTCCGTAAACTGTTCATAGGAGGCTTGACACCCCTCACCACAGAGGCCAAGTTGAAGGACTTTTATTCACAATGGGGAGAAATTGTCGATGTTGTGGTGATGAAAGATAGCCGTACAAACCGCTCAAGAGGCTTCGGCTTCATAACCTACAAGGAGCCCGAGATGGTTGATGCTGCTCAAGCTAACAGACCGCATGAAATCGATGGCAAAACAGTCGAAGCTAAGCGAGCAATGCCACGTGAAGATTCGAACAGTCCTGAGTCTCATATGACAGTCACGAAACTCTTTGTGGGTGGCCTGAAGAAGGATGTGACGCATGAAGAACTGCGTGAATACTTCAGCAAATACGGCAATATCACCGAGTGCGAAGTAGTTGCTTGGAAGGAGACGGGCGAATCACGTGGCTTCGGCTTCGTCACCTTTGATGACTACGATCCTGTTGACAAGGCTATATTATACAAGCCTCATCACATCGGCTCCAGCAGAGCAGACGTCAAGAAAGCCCTCAGTAAGGAACAAATCAACACAATGAAAAAGAAACAGGAGTCCAGGAACGACTACAATAACAACTATGGTGGTGGCGGTGGTTATGGCCCAATGGGTGGTGGCTATGGCGGATATGACGGAGGATATGGAGGCTCATACGGAGGTAAGTCCTATTTTTGGCACTTTCATCCTCTAGGTGGTCCTTATGGTGGCTACGGTTCAAATGGTGGAGGTGGTGGTACCTACGGCGGAGGTTATGGAGGTGGTTGGGGTCCGAATCACATGAACGGAGATGGCCCGGGCTGGGGTCAAGGAGGGATGGGTGATGGGTTCGGTCACTACGGGAACCAACAGAACTACGCCGGCGGTCCAATGCGGGGTGGTCCACCAGGAGGTTACCAACGGAATGCTCCCTACGGAGGTAAGTCACCACTTTGCCGAAGCTAATCTGCCTTGTTTCTAGGGGGGTATGGCCGTCGTTAATCTCAAACAGGTAAGGATTTTCTAGTATGAGCATGTTTTTCAACGTCTAATTGCTTCTTCGTATCCGTTGCAGGGTTAGTATGGCCTCAACAGTTTGGTCTAGGCAGTTCTACTAGCAGAGGAGACAGAGTTGTCCTAGCGCCCTCAGGTTCTAGGTCAGCCAGCAGAAAGTCGACAGCCTGTCTATAGCTGAAGAGGCCAGGGATCCTATTATTCACTGTGTATATAAATAATGTTGACTGTTAATTTTCACTGCATGTGCAATCGAGCGTTCTTTTTAACTGTCATGTCCATCGCGAGTTAGCATTCTATTGAGAGTGACTTTCATCTATAAGTGTAAAGTTTCGTATCATATATGCATAAGCCCATGCAGCATAATTTTTTAACTCAGCTTTGTCACTAGTATTAAAGGAAATAAAAGTGTTGAAGCCAGTTAGTCTTTTGAGTTATGAGTTTTGTTTGTAGCAGTGAGGGAGATAGATGCCTACTGGGCGGAAGGCGAAGTTGGCTTGTTAGGCCTTCCAGCCCCCTTGTTTAAGCGAGCCTGTCTCTGCACAAGGCTCCTCAAAATGTAAGCTAGGCAGCATTTCTGGAGTTTGGTGCAGTGTTAGGTCCCATTGTTGCGTATACTGGGTTTCAGGGATTGGAGGCCAGTAACAATTCACCCTGTTCACAATTTTTGAGTGGTTTTGCAGATCTCCTTACGGTGCCCGCTGGAGGACTGTAGACTCGTTCGTGGAATGGAGCGCGATGGACTCGGGACCGTCTGCACTTGTATGACTGTGAGTCCCATTTTGCATGCTATGAAAAATGGTCAGAAATAAATTTGCGGATTCGCTCCGTGTGTAAATACATCTTTCTTTTTGATCACCTTTGTTGGTGGGTGGTTTTGAGGCTGGTTGGTTTTCCGAGTGCGGGACGTAGGAAGGATCGGCGCGTTATCTCCCACCGTCGGATCCGTTTGTTGATAGAAACCCCTGGACTTTGTGCCAAGCCTTGCAGGACCCAATGACTTGGATTCTCAATGTCCACGCCTGTTGTGTGTAGGTGTACGCGTGCCACTTCGTGGCAAGTTATGAACAATCTCAGGTCAGTTGGCTAGGAATCCTGTTTAAGATCTGACAGTACTACTACCGGACACTCCCTTTGAGCTTACGGGTGGTAGTGGCCGGCTGTGGTTGACTTGCCAGGTGCGTTGGCCGTGTTCTCTACCTCGCTGGCCTACTTTTTGTGCCCAACAAGACTACTTAGTGCTGAGAGTTAGGTGCGTGGTCGGTGAGCGTCCTTGAGGTGTTACTGGATGGGCAGAATGGTTGCTTCTCCTGCCTAGCGATGTGGTTGGTTTCTTTGGCTGCTCGCTCCGGGAGTCGGTCTGCTTCTCCCTGGCTGACGGTCGTTGCTTGTCATCCCTGGTCAGATGTTTCCAATGTGGTGGTGGGTCGTCCTCCTAGTCTAGTACATCCCTCGAGAAGCTGTGCCAGTTCGGAGCAGTCAGAAGTGGTCAGAGCATTTGTTTGTTCTGCGGTCTCTGTCCTCACTCCGTGTGCTTGCCGATCTCCGGTACGGTTGGGGAGGGATTTCCCTGTGGTTTCCCACGTTCCGGTAGCTGGCCCTTGGACCTCATGCGTAGACTTATGTTATTTAGATGTGTTGTTTGGGGTTACAAGGCTATTAGCTCGTGTAAGGCCTCTTCAAACTGTTTGACGGGTTCTGGTGTTACATGTTGTCCAGGCATATCTTCAAGTCGTGGCTTCGGCTACTAAGGTCGTCATGCTTTGCTGTTGGTGTGTAGGCATGTCGTTGTGTGGTGTTTTAGTATTTCCTTCATCCCCAGAGTTTTTGTACGTAGCAGTGGATGACTGATAACTGCTTGTGTGCTGGGAATCTAGGCTCGCTTCATCCGATCCAGGTGTTTTGAGGCGAACAAATCCGTACGGTGATCCCCAATACTTTTCACTGAGCGAATTCCATCTAGAGGTCCGCCACGCGGGTTTTCGTTTCCCTTGAGGAATCGGTGGTTCGTTGGGCACGTGTCTGAAGTTTAATCTACCGGGTAATGAGTAGGTTTGTGTGAGGCATGAGTGGGTCCGTAGACGCGTTTATTATGTCGAGAATCCTCAGTGATACCACTGAGAATCCAGGTTTCCTCCAGCTACTTCTCGATCTCCATATTCACCTTAGTTGCATCTGACACAAACGTTCTGTCAGTAATCTGACATTTTCAACTAGTTAGTTGGCTTGTCTCCATGGTACGACCAGCTATGTCAGAGTATAGTTTCTGGATCCTTAGTGTTTAGTGCGTAATCTGAAAGTGTTTACATCCACTCGGTTTTCCCGTCGAGCAGTCTTCCTTCTACAACCACGGACAGAGATGGTCCTGTAGGTAGATGTGGTGACTGATGCTCTATGTGAACGCCTTAAATGATATTAACTGATGTGTCTTCACCATACTGGCGAAGTTGATCTATCAGTACTCAGTGAATATGCTTTTATGACGGCCCCTGCCAGTATTCAGGTTTATTTTGGTTTTGTTGCGTATTATTCGGGACTGGAAGATTACAGTTTTTGTGATGGGTGGAGACGCTGATCATTGAGGGCCGCGGTGCTAACGTTCGCTCATGGTTAGCTTCCTGAAGAGATTGTACCAAGTTTGCTGGAGATCACTGACTCCGTCCGCTAGTCACATTCTGAGATAAATACTGAATTTACACCAAGGCCTTATGGAGGTGAAGTATTGTGACAATACTTTAGAGTATTGTGAATCATCTTCCGTCCCGACACACTCTTACCCCGAGAACACCGAATTGCCATTAGAGTATTAGAGAAATAAAACTTCTGACAAGTTACCTCACCTAATATCGATCCGGGTGATTTTTGAGGTCTGCAGTAGTTTTCTGAATTACGATTGTTGGTCGTAGATTGTTCACGTGCAAGTGAGTAGACTCTGTGGCCTCTCCTTGTAGCTTGAGGGTTTTCTTATCCCCGAGTAACCAGGGAGGGTTGACGCTTTATGTTCGAAAGTCATGAATAAAATCAGACATGACAATCTGGTTGGGCAACAAAATCCCAAACACATCTGGTGATGATTGGCTGTACATCTTAGTGTTAACATAGCCACTGTTTGGTAGCGAGTGGAGGAAGTTTCGTGTGAATATTAGGTGTGACGATGTCAACCGTGGGCGACACACGGAAGCCAGAAATTCTTTAGCGTGTGTCTGTCAATAACAGTCTACAGTAGCCTCCTGCATGGTGTCCATCAAAATTCTTATCTCGAAGCCGGCCACCTATGTGTAGAGTAATATGAGACATTTTGTTTTATCGCTTGCCTTGCTCACATGTATCTTGGCAGTATCCATTTCCAGCGCGTGTTTATGCGGAAGTCTACAATGGAAGTCGCTGGTTGGGGACTTCAGGTGACATGACGTAAAATCCATATCAATGGCTCACATGAACTGAAAACGTCAGAGTTAGATGTCGTACATAAATGCATCGGTTCAAGTTGCCACACTTAGCAGCAGTACACGGAGAAAGGTGGGATAGACAAAAAGTGGTGTTAAAGTATTCGAGGTTGTTTGAGAGAGTAAATATCCTGAAGATAAAAGTTAGTGCAAATACTATAGCTTTGGAAGGTGCAAGAGAGTGAACATGTGTTCCATGTCTCACAGCTGTATAACAAGACAACGAACTGCAGCACAGCATACTCTTCATTTGATGGGCAGTGTGATATGTCGCCAATTGGCGTCAGAGATGACTCAAGTTGGAAGATGTCAAAGGGGACTTTTGTATCCAGGCTTCAAGTTCGTCAGTGAGCTGATGCAAATCCCCAATTAGGTGAAGTGTTCGACACATTCTACCACTGGGGATAGTTGCAGTCCAGTCTTGGAGCAACGTCCTACATTTGACAAGTGCCAGCGAAATGCGTGCCAAACGTACTCAGGTTTCTTCTTACCACGTTTGGAAGACCCTTCATTTTGTCGGCGTCCTCACCCAGCAGGACAATGTCGTCTGAATACTCCAAGTCGACCAGATTACCGCATGGAGTAGGTCGATCCCTGTGAAGTCAGACTTACCTAGGGTTATGTCCAGTAGTATGTCTATAACGAAGTTAAGTAGGAACGGTGACAGTGGACGTTCCTAGCGGAAGTGATTAGTTGACGTCACCTCTGATGAGAACTCTCGACAAGCCGTTACACAGATGTGTGAGTCCGAGTATAGGGCTGTGATTGGCGTTATACACTCACTCGGTACTATCCTCATAGCCAGATTATATCGCACGATTGACAGAGTTGGATGCCGACTTCCAGTTAAGAAACACGCCAGGTGTCTGCCACTGGCCAGTAAGTATCCTTCTGTCGGAGGGTCTAATCATGATCAATGCACACTCGTCCAGGTCCATCTAAAACGTGCCTGCCTTTCTCGAGTTTAGTGTTATCGAGCTCTAATTAGGGATCGGATAAATATGGACCCTGGGATCGTGGACAAAGTACTAGTCAAACTAATTGCCTTATTGTTGTCACAAGAAGATAGAATGGGATAATCAATGGAGTAGGTCAGTGTGACACCACTACCTCTGATTCCCACATACTGCCTAGTACCTTCGTCATTTCACTTAGCAACTATCTTCTTCCATCCTTCGAAACTTCAAGTGACAAACAGTCAGATCCTGATGCTCTTCAGTCTTCTCATGTTCGATTCACCCTTCTCAAGTCCAAGGGGAGTTGAAGGATTAACATTTACTCACCCTTCGGGTTCAGGCTGGATGTTGGGTAACTGAAGCGTTGTTGATGGCCAGTGCAACTGTGCTTCGAAGTGTTCTGCTTCATGTTCTAGCCGCCTATCCTGGGAGGTTATCAGCGTTGCATCCTTTTGGGTGATGGTTTCACCAACCATCGTTCTCTTCTTGTCAGTATCCTTAATCAGCTCAAATGGTCGCAAAGTGTTACCCGACGCTGATGCCTCCTTAATCTGTTTCGCTCTCACCACCCACCATTGCCCGCGATCGACGCGAAGACTCTTGGTCAACTTGTGTTTAGGCTGCTTTCGCTCATCATGGTTAGAGCCGGATGGAACCAGCCTTCTCTCATCAATCACTTCGGATGACGTTGCGGAAATCCAATGACGTTCACTAACTTTGGAGTGTGGGTTACCAATTGTCTTTACTGCTGTTTCTACAACAGATGTAGTCTCATGCTAGGGCTCCTCAGGGTGAGCACTGGCATCATATTCGGATAAATACTTGGCTAACCACTCAGTTGATGCGTACTTGGAGTCCTCATCTTCCAGTCGAGCACAGATAGGCCTCACTGCCTCCCGTTTTCTACTGCCAGTAAGGCACAGAAATACACCAGCCCATATAACGGGTGATCGGAGTCAAAACTGGCACTTCAGAGAGAGCGGTAATCCCCCATCGATCCGCTATAGAAATGGCCCATAGCAATGTGATGTATCTGTCTCCATCGTTGGTTTGAAGTTGGCAGACGTCATGTGAGAGAGTGCCTCTCCTTATACCTAAATTTAGTGCTGGTCAGAGACAAGTGATTATCGGAACAAAATTGCAACAAACGGTCACTGTTGTCGTTTCGTTGGCATGAGATTCCGTAAATACCTACCTCCAAGTCGCCTTACCGATTGGCTCAGATTGCCTACTTGAGCGTTAAAGTCACGTGCCATTGTGACTATATCTGAAGGTTTTGCTTTGTGTGGTAAGGTCGACAGCTTTTGGTAGGACTCATCCTTTGCGTCATCACAGCCACAGTCGATAGGTGCATGGGCGGATACTACGAATGTGTGTCGGTTTGTCTCACGACCGCTGTTTGTTTTTAGAGATCCCTTTTGGTAGGCAGCATATGGGTGGTACTGCTGGTCGACCTGGGAAACACCTTTCTGTCTCATACCTTGTAGGAAACAGGAATACAACTTCGACTTAGGAACAGGTTGTAATATAGTAATTTTTTTACAGCAGTAATTGCTTTTCGTCTTAACGCTATTCAGGCGATGTTTTGGCATTATGTGACCGCGAAGGAATAAGCGTTTAACGAACATAATTCGTCGGATCATTGTGACATGTAAGGGCGACCACCACGTCGTAGGAGCAGCTTTTGGCTCAGATTCATCTGCACATTGTTTTCACCCCAATCTTTATACTGATTTTCGCGGTTGCCTCATTTTTTTCTCTTTTCATGACTCTAACGATTTGACTGCATTTTCGCTCATTCCTGTGATACCTTTTACCGTGATATGTGAATATCAGGTGTTGTAATGTGGATCCTTCAGTAGTAATCCCAGGTTCCACATTGGTTTTCGGTTCATTTTTTCTTGAACGCAGCCACCTGATGAGCACTGACAGTGATATCACACTGTAGGATACTAGGTAGTTCTCTAATGTTGGTGATTAGGTCAAGATTACACGATATTGAGGCTGTATTGGCTGGTCAACATTAACAATCCATCTCCTCGCATCTGCGTAGAGACGTCTTCGGTTAATGACCTAAGTTTTCGTTTCGCTTTCAAGCTGTCTTGGTCACTGATGACATACCCGACTGCCTACGAAAGGTAGGGTGAACCCTCTGTCCTACTATATGGTGAGGAACGTGGCTATTAAAGTTCGATGATATTAAAAAACACTACGTGTTCGACCACCATTATCTTTATAGCAAATGTTGTGTATCGTGAAAGCACCACCAGTAACGTGGATGCCACGTTTAAGGTCATTTGTAAGACAGGGGAATACGTTTATGGGGTTATAAACCTTCGAAAACTTGGGTGGCTGAGAAATTCTACTCATGTCTTTATCACTGTATACCGTGAAGTGTAATCTTAGCTAAGGGTTTCTTGGACTGGGGAAGGTTAGAGGTGACCAAACTAATATGTGGTATCAGTTTCTAAAGTCTATGACCGTTATTCTAATCCGTGTACGGAAATGTAAACTTCGAAGATGAGGTTCCCAGCTGAATGAACGGTTAGTTGCGATTGTCTAGTACAACTGGGCTAAGGCAACCAACTCTTTTTGGCTAGCATGGACTTGGGGAATAAAGAGAGACAATGTGTGACGTGGAGGTCACCGTCTTCAGTTGGACGGTAGACTCAGATGGACCATATTGCTATCACTTATCGCTGACAGATAGATAATATCAGCGTAGAATATCGCACACAATGACATCGGTCCAAGTTGCCACACTTCTCAGTAGTACACGAAGAACAGTTGGATAGAAGAAGATTCATGTTAAAGTAGATGAGGTTGTGTGAGAGAGTAAACATTTTAAAGATAACGGTTAATGCAAATATTCAAGCTTTGGAAGATGGTAAAGAGTGAGTATATCTGTGCCATTGGACAGATTTTCAGCCATGTCACCTATATTTCCCAATCACTGCTTCTTTCTGTCTCTGGGAGCCCATCCAGGCAGTCTACATCTCCCAACACAGCTCACGCCAGCAGTCAGGGTCTTCAACGACTGGTGCAACTTCTTAGTCTGGCTAATCTGAACCCTCTTCCAACCTAGTTCAGCCTGCTGGATCATGTCATGTCGAGGTAGGCGGTGGCTTGGTATGCACAACATATGTCCAAGCCACCTCAGCCGATGAAGGTTCGCAGCCTCATTTACCGACTTGGCTATCTTGCCTAGTACGCTTCGGCTGACCTTCACATTTCACACAGTAATTCCACCCGACGCAAGCAATCCTACGAAGACATGGATAACCATGTCCCAGTAACCGCTTCATATCTTCTAATTTTAATGGTCATGTCTCAGCTGTATAACAAGACAACGAACTGCAGCACAGCATACTCTTCATTTGATGGGCAGTGTGATATGTCGCCAATTGGCGTCAGAGATGACTCAAGTTGGAAGATGTCAAAGGGGACTTTTGTATCCAGGCTTCAAGTTCGTCAGTGAGCTGATGCAAATCCCCAATTAGGTGAAGTGTTCGACACATTCTACCACTGGGGATAGTTGCAGTCCAGTCTTGGAGCAACGTCCTACATTTGACAAGTGCCAGCGAAATGCGTGCCAAACGTACTCAGGTTTCTTCTTACCACGTTTGGAAGACCCTTCATTTTGTCGGCGTCCTCACCCAGCAGGACAATGTCGTCTGAATACTCCAAGTCGACCAGATTACCGCATGGAGTAGGTCGATCCCTGTGAAATCAGACTTACCTAGGGTTATGTCCAGTAGTATGTCTACAACAACTTATTGAGTGCTCACTTTTCCTGTGACTGGTTAGCAGTAACACAGAGTTAGTTAGTTTATAAAGTGGCGTCGTAGGATAAATGATAGTTATGTTGAGTTGGCATTTGTTGAATCCTTCAGGGTACTTGGATGAAATACGATTGGGCATGCAACTCAGTTGCTTGAGAAGATAGCAGACACGGCTCAGAATCGAAACCAGGTGACATCATGCTGCAGCTTTTTCTTTTCTTATAATACCGAGAAGCCAGACAGAAGTAGTTAATACATTTTTTTAACCTGCCTCTCGAATAATTCGTTTTCATTCGTTTTCTGGATAATTTTCCCGTCTTCTTACTGGTGCTACGTTATTTTGTGTGGTGCATTTCTTGTTGCCCACCTTGTACCATGTTTACTTTTTCAATACAATATAGTTCCAGAGTAATCTTGAAAGTAGTCCGAGCATCACTGTTTACTTCCGTACTGCGTTATTGTTAGGAACATTATTCATGCGTTTGTCACAATGCTAAATTAATAGATGTTTCGTAATCTAAAAGTGTCATATACTGTCGAGAGAATTAGTTGACTCTGTGTAGTTTCGCTATAACCGGGAATCGGCCTAGGCATTGAGAATTCAACCAGTCGGTAGGCTATAACTCCAAAGTCACCATTTCATCTACTGAGAACTGGATAGCTTGAGTCCATCTACTATATATTCATTGATATGCAACTGTGTGTCGAGTGTACACTTTTTAGGATGAGTTTATTCCTCCTAAACGAATTTTGACGTGGAGATATGAATTTATTATCATTCAGAGTTAATTTTTATCAGCTTTGTTGTCCAGTTAAATAAGTAAACGTTTGTCAAGCATGCTATCAGAACGAAATTGCATAGCGATTTCAATCTCAAAATAGGGTGCATCGATAATATTTTCTCCTTCCGACAGGTCTTCGAGCACAGACATACTTACTGGCGGCCGACAGTTGCCATATTTCTTGATCTGAAGGGTAAATTTAAGTCTGTCGACCATGAACTGTTGTGGCAGTATCTGACTGTGAAGCAAGTATATTTATTTTTTTATTATTAGTCCCTTGGGTTCCTAGTGGAACATAGGGCTTCAGTAGCACGCCTCCAGTGACCTCTGTTCTCTGAGATCTTTTGAACCTGGTTCCACGACAGCCCAGAAGCTCTCATTTCCTCCTCGCATGACCTCCTCCATGTCACCCTCGGACGTCCAACTCGTCGCTTCCCATGGGGATTCCACTCGAGGGCCTGACGCGTGATGTCCTCAGTCGGCCTTCTCAGTGCATGGCCAATCCATCTCCACTTCTTCCTGCATATTTGTTGCGTGATAGGTTCTTGGTTGGTTCGTTCCCAGAGTTCCTTGTTGCTTATTTTTTCTGGCCATCTGATCTTCAGCAGCGAGCGTAAGCAGTTGTTGATGAATGTCTGTAGTTTATTGGAAATGCCTTTCGTGACGCGCCAAGTCTCTGAGCCATACAAGAGCACTGACTTGACGTTGGTGTTGAAAATCCGTATCTTGTTCCGCATGCTGAGTGCAGAAGATCTCCACACTGGTTTCAGGCTAATGAACGCCTGTCTTGCTTTTCCGATTCTGACTTTGACGTCCTCGTCCGTCCCGCCTGTAGTTGAAACAGTGCTTCCTAGATAAGTGAAGGAGGTTACTTCCTTCAAGTTTCTCCCGTTGACGGTGATTGGAGTTTGTTGTTGTTGTTGATGGTGGTGGTGCGGTATCTTCATCACTTCTGTCTTCTCTATATTCACCTGAAGTCCCGTCTTAGCTGCCTCTTCTGTCAACTTGTTAGTTTTTGCCTGCAGATCTTCAAGTTTATGTGACATTAGGCATAAGTCATCGGCGAAATCCAAGTCTTCTAGGTTCTTTTCCGTCGTCCAGTGTATCCCCCTCTTCTCGCTGCCTACTGTTTGCTGCATGATCCAGTCCACCACAATAAGGAATATCATGGGGGATAGTAGGCAACCTTGTTTCACTCCTGTCTTCACTTCAAAGGCATCACTGAGCTTCCCATTGTGGATTACTTGGCATGTGGCATCTTCATATAGTTGTTGAATGAGGCGGATAAAGGTTTGCGGTACTCCGTAGTATTGAAGCAGTTTCCAAATTACTTCTCGGTCGACGCTGTCAAAGGCCTTCTCAAAGTCGATGAAGTTGAGGTGGAGAGCTGATTGCCATTCTATGCTCTGTTCTATGATGATACGAAGCGTTGCAATTTGGTCAGCACATGATTTGTACTTCCTGAAGCCTGCCTGTTCCGGTCGCAGTTTTGAATCCAGTGCGTCTTTAAGCCTCTCCAGGATGATGCGGCTTAATATTTTACTTGGGGTGGATAGGAGAGTGATTCCGCGCCAGTTCTTGCAAGCACTGAGGTCTCCCTTCTTCGGCAGTTTGACAAGGTAACCCTTCTTCCAATCGTCAGGTACCTTCTCTTCCTCCACACCTTCTGCAATAGTGGTGTGAGCATGTCCGCTGTTGTCTCTGCATCTGTTCTCAGTGCTTCTGGCGGTATTCCATCTGGTCCTGCTGCTTTCCCGCATTTCAGTAGCTTTATGGCGTTCAGGACTTCCATTTTCGTTGGGGGATTTATGTTCACTTGTAATTCAGCGGCTGCAGGTGGTATTTCTGGACGAAGTGCAGGTGGTGGTCGATTCAAGAGCTTCTTGAAGTGGTCGGCCCATCGTTTCCTCTGTTTCTCTTCTTTTGTAATTAAATTTCCTTCTTCATCTTTTATTGGTTTCATCTGTGTTGGTCTCTTCCCTGATAGCAACCTGGTTATTTGATACAATGTCGTCAGGTCTCTCTTACCTGCAGCCTGTTCTGCTTCACTTGCCAGTGTGTCGTAGAAGTGTCTTTTGTCTTTGCGTGCACTCTTCTTCACTTCTTTATCCAGTGTTTTATACATTGTGCTCAGTTCCTCTTGTCGTTGAGCATCCTTGCACTGGTTTATCTTCTGCTTCACCATCCTCCTCTCCTCTATCAGCTTCCAGGTATCCGTCGAGATCCATTCCTTGTCTTCTTTCTTCTTCCTTCCTAATACTGTTGTGCAGGTTTCTTTCCACATAGCTTTCAAAGACTTCCAGTGTTCTTCTACACAGGTTTCTTCAGGGATGTCCCTCGACGTCTCCCATTTTGTCTTGATGGCTGCTTTGAAGATCTCCTTTGTAGTTTCATCCTTCAGTTTCCGAGTGTTGTACTTGAATTGAGGTCTATCACCAGCTTCCTTGAAGGCTTTTAACTTGATTTGGAAGGTTCCTTGCACTAGATAGTGGTCTGAACCTACATCTGCTCCTCTTCTTGACCTTGTGTTAAGTAGACTGCGTCTCCATTTTCTTGAGATTGAGATAAAGTCGATTTGATTTTTAGTGTGTCCATCTGGTGAAATCCATGTCGCTTTGTGGATATCCTTGTGCCTGAACACACTGCCTCCAATCACCAAATCGTTGAATGCACAGAATTCTGCAAACAATTCTCCATTCTCATTCATTTCACCTAGCGCCTCTCGACCCATGGTTAGTTCTCTTCCCGTGTTGTCCCCTCCCAGTTTGGCATTCATGTCGCCCATTAGAATTTTGATATCGCCAACTGACGTCTTGTCCAGTGTTGATTGAAGTTGTCTGTAGAATTCCTCCTTTTTCTCTTGCTCTGCATTATTTGTAGGTGCATAACATTGTATGATTGTGACCTTTCTTCCTTTTGAGTTGAATCTTGCTGTCATGATCCTGGAGGAGATTGGTTCCCACTGCATGAGAGCCTTCGATGCTCTTGAGGACATCATGATAGCCACTCCCTCAGTGTGCTCGTGGTTGGCGTCTGGGTGACCGGAGTAGATTATTGATTCTCCAGTTGACAGTTTGGAGAGTCCACTCCCATTCCATCTGCTTTCGCAAATCCCAAGCACTTCGATGTTATACCTTCTCATCTCCTTTGCAATCTGGGCTGCCTTACTGGGTTCAAACATCGTGCGGACATTCCATGTCCCCACGTTTACTTTCGCTTTCATCGAGAGAAGACACATCGGCCAATTGGCTTCCCGAAGGCTTTCACCAACTGGCGTCATTTCGCCTCTCCGATTCCAGCGGGGAATAAGTTTGTTTTCATTTTTTATATTTTGTTTGTGCTTTGAAGTTTCTTTAGCGGTTAGATTTGTTTTACGGGGTAGGGTTGCTAGCCCTATGCCCAACCTTCCCTCTTTACCCGGGCTTAGGACCGGCTAGTAACTAGTAAACTAGTTAACCAGGCGAGGTTGTGAAGCAAGTATATAGTACTTATCAAAGCTATCCACTCGAACCCATGGAGCTTTGTAACAGTTTTCAAAGTGTTGTCATGTTAACTGATGACAACTAGAGGTATCCTCCAGGGATTTCCACTGTCACCGTTTCTGTCTGGCCTGGTGACTTCGTTAGATAATGATCGAAAGAACTCGACCAACACTTGGGACTTGACAAAATGAAGTTGGTTATCCTTCCGTGACCAGTCGATGTACAGCTCAACTGTGAGAATCAATAATCTTTCTTTTATTATGCCAGCGTACCACTTAACCTTTCAGCATGAAGAGACGTGGCAGTTT